GGGCTCCTCAACCTGAGCACATTCATGGCCTTAGGCGGGACTCGCTCTGCCTTTGTAACTACTCCCCATAGCACAATGGGTACAAATGAAGGGGAAATGGCAGTATTGATGGATTTCTACATTCAGAAAATTTTTTTTCTTTTCCTTAAGAATTATTTTATGGGACCAGCAGTTAGCATAATGGCTATGTTGCTGGACTCCCATGTAGTCGACTGCGGTTTGAGTCCCGGACCTGGTCCAGGCGCATGTGTGTGCGTGCCCAAGATACCGAGAGGAGAATGGAGAAGGGATTGGGGCGTGGCCATCCCCCCTGGGGGGTGATTTCTCGCTTTCTGTCTCTATGTCTCCGTCTGTCTGACAAGCGCACGTGCCCTATAGCAAAAAAAACTCTCTCTCAAAAAAAAAAAAAAAAAAACCCCAGGGGGGATGGTCAAGCTGCAATCCCTTCTCCTCCATTCTTCTCTTGGGATCTTGGACACGCACGCACACGCGCCCAGCATGAGTTTTAAGCCACCGGGTCCAGGACGCAAACCGTGGTCAACTACGTGGGAGTCCAGCGACATAGCCATTACGCTAACTGCTGGTTCCCTTGACTTCATTTATTTTAATTTGAACAGAGAGGGACAAAGTGGTGGTGGTGGAGGGAGAGAGCAAGCTGCCAAGTCCTGGGGCTCGAACCGTGGTCAGCCACATGGAGAGTCCAGCGTCCTTAACCACCACACCACCTGCTGGCCCCCGATTTCTACATTCAAACAGAACTTTTTTTTTTTAAAGGGTTTTTGGAGAGAAACAGACACAGTGGGAGGGAAAGTGATAAATCATCCCCCAGGGGGATGGCCACACCTCGATCTCTTCTCCTCCAGTCTCCTCCTGGGATCCTGGGCACACACACATACATGTGCTCAGCATGAGTTTTAGGCCACCAGGTACAGGACCCGAACCGTGGTTGGTCATGTGGGAGTCCAGCAATGTAAGTGCTATGCCACCTGCTGGTCCCTCGAGTAGAACATTTTTAGTTCAGGGAAATAATCTGACAACTGTGAGGTTTAATGAAAATCATGGAGGGGGACACCAAATAGGAAGAAAGCACTTTTCCCACAGTTTTTGATAAAAATCTGTCACCAAAGTCTCGTAATGACCCATCGGTTTCATAAACTTAAAACCCACATGCAGCCTGGTCTCCTGGTGACTGGAGAGGACCAGGACAACATGCCCTTAAAAGCAGACTCTCTGTTCTAAGTAAAAAAATGAGACATGCTCTTTTTTTTTTTTTTTAAAGAGGATTTTTGTCTTTGCCTTAGGGTGTATGTGCTGATGAGAGAGAAAGAGAAAGAAACAGAGAGGGAAAGTGAGAAATCACCCCCCAGGGGGAATGGCCACACCACAATCCCTTCTCCTCCACTCTCCTTCTGGGATCTTGGGCACACACATGTGCCTGGCATGATTTTCAAGACTCAAGCCACAGTCAGCCCCGTAAGAGTTCAGTGATGTAACCGCTATGCCACCTGCAGGTTTCGAGATATGCTTTATTAAAAGAGGGGGTGGAAAGTGGCTTTCAGACATAATACCATTTCTTCAACTCTCCAAAAACACTGAGACATCGCTATTACATCTGTTCACATCTTAATTTCTTTTTTTTGGAGAGATTTTTGCTATAGGGCGCGTGCGCTCGCCAGACAGACAGAGAGAGACATAGAGACAGAAAGCGAGAAATCACCCCCCAGGGGGGATGGTCACGCCGCAATCCCTTCTCCTCCATTCTCCTCTCGGGATCTTGGGCACACACGCACACGCGCCCGGCGTGAGTTCTAAGCCACCGGGTCCGGGACACGAACCGCGGTCGACTACGTGGGAGTCCAGCGACATAGCCATTACGCTAACTGCTGGTTCCCCACATCTTAATTTCTGAATAAGTTAAACCAAATTTTGTAACTTTGAATTTTGATTGTTTTCAATGCGAGAGTATTAGCTAATTTTCCTGCTTTTTACTAATTCAATCCTTAAGAGAGAGAGAAAAAATGATGACAAGCACAATGAACACTTACCTTCTGCATGGCTGTGGCTAATTGTGATTTAAACATTAAAGTTACTGAACATTTCATTCTTCAAACAGAAGCAAGCATGCTAAGTGTTATTAGTATGAAGACAGAATTATTTGGGTGCTAAATAATTCTACCAAAGAGAGAAAATGCAGAGCATGCATAGGCCTCTTGGTGCATGGGTGCCGCAGCTCCTTTAAAATGCCTTGGAGTTAATTTCTTTCAAGTTTTTCCTCAAGGAAGTAAGTATTTAGTTTTCAGCAGAAAGTTTAGTTTTTAAGAAAAAACAAAAACAAAAACAAAAAACACACACACACCAAAAACAAAACAAAACCAAAAAGTAAAAAGGGCCAGAAAGCCAAACCTGTTGTTAATTGCAGGAGCCATTTTGGGGTACAGACTGAAAATTAAATGTGTATATACAACTCCTACCTTTTGATAAACCTGAATGACATGTTTCTAAAAGAAATTAAGCCAGGAAAAAAAAATTAACAAAAACAATCTGTATAAATCAAATAGAAATCTAATCAATTATAGAGAAAAGGAAAAAAAATGAAAAGAAATATGATCAAAACAGGGCTCCTCTTCTGGCCAATGAACAATGAAATACTGACATGTATTGAAAAATCAAAAATTATTACAGATCAGGACCACCAGTTGGAATAATGGCTATGTTGTTGGATTCCAATGTAGTCAACAGCAGTTCAAGTCCTGGACCTGGTGGCTTAAACTCACGCCGGGCATGTGTGCATGCGTGCCCAAGATCCTGACAGGAGAATGGAGGAGAAAGGATTGCGGCGTGGCCATCCTCCCTGGGGGGTGACTTCTCGCTTTCTGTCTCTCTGTCTTCCTGGCAAGTGCATGTGCTCTATAGCAAAAAACCTCTAAAAAAATTTAGTACAGATGGCTAAAGGAATATGTGATCTTTTAATTAGAAATATTTAAAATCTGTATTTACAAGAAAAAGTTTAGCATGAAATATTGACATCGGCTGTAATGAAACTTATTTCAATTTCTTCAGATAGATAAAAGGGTTTTTTTGGGAGAGGTTTTTGCTATAGGGCATGAGCTCACCAGAAAGAGAGAGACAGAAAGCGAGAAATTACTCCCCAGGGGGTATAGCCACTTCGCAATCCCATCTCCTCCATTTTCTCTGGACCTTGGGCACACATGCACACGCGCCAAGCATGAGTTTAAGCCACCGGATCCGGGACTCAGACCGCAGTTCACTACATGGGAGTCCAGCAACATAGCCATTACACCAACTGCTGGTCCCAAGATAGAAACACTTTTAAGATGAAATTCAGTATCTTGTATTAAAACAAGTCATTGGCAACATACAGTAATAAAATTACATTTTTCAGTTTTCTCTAGAATGCCATAAGAAAAACCTCATTTTCTTACATAGAAACATTTTCCATTTTTAAAAAAGAGTTATTTAATTTTATGTATTTATTATTATTTTGATTTGACCAGAGAAAAAGAGAGAGAGAGACAGAAAGAGAGAGAGAGAGAAAGCAAACCACCAGGTCTGGGTCTTGAATTGTGGTTGGCCATGTGGGAATTCTTTGCCTTAACCACCATACCACCTGTTGGCCCCAACATTTTTCATTTTAAGATATTTAACCATTGGGACTAGCAGACAAGATAATAGTTACATCATCGCTGGATTCCCATGCACTTGACTGCAGTTTGAGTTCTGGACCCAATGGTTTAAAATTCACACTAGGCACGTGTGTGTGCATGCCAAAAATCCTGAGAGGTGACTGGAGGAGGAGGGACTGCAGCATGGCCATCTTCCCGGGAGGGTGATCTCTAGCTTTCTGTTTCTCTGCTGCTCCAGTGAGCACATGCACCCTATAGCAAAAATCTCAAAAAAAAAAAAAAAAAAAAACCCAAAAAAACAAAAAAACAAAAAAAAAAACATTAAGAGGATCATTGCTTATTTCAAGAAAATGACTTAAGGAGACCAGCAAGTGGCATGGTGGTTAAGGCATTGGACATTTGCACATGGCTGACCATAGTTGGAGTCCTGGACCTGGTGGCTTGCTTTCCCACTTTTCTTCTCTCTGTCTCTGTTCAAATTTTAAAAAGTGAACTAATAAATAAAGTACATAATTCTTTAAAAAAAAAAAAAAGAAGAAGAAAAAGAAAATGACTTAAACATTAACATAATGTTTGTTACAGGGCTGGCCCCATGGCCTGTGGTTAAGGGTGCCAGAATCCATATGATTAAGACCTAGCAGACCTAGCTCCAGCAGCATGGAAATCATCCAGGGCGCATGTGCTTGTGTGTCCCAAATCCCGACAGGATGAAGAAATGGAGAAGGGATTGTAGCATGACCATACTCCATAGCAGAGTGCTTTTTCTGGTGAGCGCATGTACACTCTGGCTGATAACCAAAAACAAGAACAGCAAAAAATTATCTAAAACACTCTTTAAAAATTTTTTAAGGTTTTTACCACAGGACACATGCACTCACTGGAGAAAGACAGTGAGAAGAAAATCAAGAAATCACTCTCAGAGGGGATGGCCATGTCACAATCCCTTGTCCTCCATTCTCCTCCTGGGATTTTGGGCATGAACGCACAAAAACCTGGAGTGATTTTTAAGCCACTGGCTCTGGGAATCGACCTACGGACCCACCATGTGTAGTTGAGCACCTTAACCATCATGTTACTTATGCCTGTCCTGCAATAAAACACGATTTTTTTTTTTTTGGAGAGGTTTCTGCTATAGGGTGCATGCGTTCGCCAGAAAGACAGAGAGAGAGCAAAAGAGAGTCAGAAAGTGAGAAATCACCCCTGGGGGCACGGCCATGCTGCAATCCCTTCTCCTCTCGGGATCTTGGGCAGGCACCCAGACACGCCCAGTGTGAGTTTAAGCTGCTGGGTCTGGGACTCGAACTGTGGTCAACTATATGGGAGTCCAGCGACATAGCCATTACACTAACTGCTGGTCCCTAAAACACGTTTTAAGAAAAAAATAAGTGGGGCCAGAGGATGGTGAGGTGGTTGGGGTGCTGGACTCCCACATGGCCTAGAGCGGGTCAACTCCTGGACCTGATGGCTTCCTCTCTTTTTTTCTGGTGATTGCACATGCCCTATAACAAATTAAAAAACAATAATAATAAATAATTAAAAAATTTATTCATTCATTTTATTTATTTATTTATTTATTTTAATTTGATCAGAAAGACAGAGAGAGAGAGAGAGAGAGAGAGAGAGAGTGAAAGAGGGAAAGTGAGAAAGCAAGCCACCAGGTCTGAGACTCGAACCGTGGTTGGCCACGTGGGAATCCAGCGCCTTATGGTCCATGCCACTTGCCGGTCCCATAATAAATAATTTTTAAAAAGTTACTAGGGTTAAAAAAAAAAAGTTGCTAGGGTTTAAAAAGAGGTAGAAATTTCAGTTTTAGATCCCAGGATGAATGAAAATTAAGTGTCAAGGTAATAGTATGGGTTTCATTTTATGTAATCAATTGTAGAAATCATATTTAAAAAGGGGGTGACTTGGGGCTGGCAGGTGGCGTGATGGTTAAGGTGCTGGACTCTCACATGACCAACCATGGTTCAAGTTCTGGACCTGGTTGCTTGTTTTATTTTGCTTGTTTTATTTTCCCTTTCTCTCCCTCTGGTCAAACAACAAAAGAAAAAACAACAAATGAATTGTTTTTTAAAAGGGGTTACTCTGGTCATTAAACCAAAACCAAAACCAAAACCAAAACCAAAACCTGAGGGGAACTGGCTTGTAGCATGGTGATTAAGGTGGCTGGATTCTACATTGTCAAGAGCTCAGTTCAAGTCTTGGACCTGGATACTTAGACATACCAGGCATACTCACATACATATGAGTGTGTGTATGTCCAAAGCCCAAAAGGAAGGAGAAATGGAGGAGAAAGGATTGTGATGTGACCATTCCCCTAAGAAGATGCATAGGTTGTGCTGAACAGAATCTGACAAAAGATTTTTCAAGCTGTGGATAAGGGATTTATGATCCTATGGTCAGCTTCTCTGGGCAAGTGCTGGTTGGGCTTCTTACATGTTTTTTAATAGGTTTTTTTTTTTTTTTTAGAATTATTTAACTTTATTTATTTATTTTAATTTGACCAAAGTGAGAGACAGAGAGATAGGGAGGGAGGGAGGGAGGGAAGGAGAGAGGGAGAGAGAGGGAGGGAAAGGGAAAAAGCAAGCCGCCAGATCCAGTACTCGAACTGTGGGCCACCGTGTGGAAGTCCAGTGCCCGTAACCACAATGCCACCTGCCGGCCCCATTTTTTTTTTTAATTGCCAGAGGGCATGGTCACACCATAATCCCTTCTCCTCCATCTGTTCATCCTATTGAGATGTTGGGCATGCACAAGAACATGTCTGGTTTTAAAATCATACTGTTTCTGCTGTTATATAGAGTCACAAACAAAATTAGACAAAATTATAAAAATATTTTGAGTATTATCTTTAAAATACAGTATTTTGAAACTTTGAAAGTTGTTTATTAACTGTCAAGAACTATAGAGTATTGGGAACCAGCAGTTAGCGTAATGGCTATGTCTCTGGACTCCCACGTAGTCGACCGCGGTTCGTGTCCCGGACCCGGTGGCTTAGAACTCACGCCGGGCGCGTGTGCATGCGTGCCCAAGATCCCGAGAGGAGAATGGAGGAGAAGGGATTGTGGCGTGACCATCCCCCCTGGGGGGTGATTTCTCACTTTCTGTCTCTATGTCTCTCTCTGTCTGTCTGGCGAGCGCACGCGCCCTATAGCGAAAATCTCTCCAAAAAAAAAAAAAAGAAAAAAAACAAAAAGAACTATAGAGTATGAGCAAAAATTTTTTTTGATATGTAAAGTAAATGTGGAAAAATGTAAAAATAAAAATGAACACGTGTGGTATGTTTTTCTTTTTTAAAAAATTATTTTATTTATTTTTATTTATTGTTATTATTACTTTCCGGTTTGATCAGAGAGAGACAGTGAGAGAGAGAAGGAAAGTGAGAAAAGCAGGTCACCAGGTTTGAGACTTCAACTTCAGCTGGCCATATGGGAGTCCACCTGCTGGCCCAAGAAGTTACTTTATTTAAGATACATACATACATACATATATTTATTTATAATTTGATCAGAGCGGGACAGAATGAGAGAGAGAAAGTGAGAAAGCAAGCTGCCAGGTCTGGGACTTGAACTGCAATCGACCATGTGTGAGTCCAGTGCCCATGCCACCTGCTGGTCCCTGTATGTTTTTCAAGCTGCTGAGGCCAGAACTCAAACCCTGGTCAACCATGTGGGATTCAGCTTCCTTAACCACTGTGCCATGGAGACAGCCCTAACCTTGTTTATTTCTATTTATAAAAATCAGTTCTGTAACAAGACACAACGAGGATTCATATATACTTGTTGAATAAATTAATTAATGAAATCCTTAAAAAATTTTTTTCTTCTAATTTGGGAAAGCTTTAGCATTGCTTC